GTCCGCGCGGAGAAAATTGGATATTTGGGACTGCAAAGATTGATTCTTCGATCTGTTAAGAAAATAGTGTACCTCTTAAACGTAGTTCAGGGGTAAGCATCTTACTTAGGTGGAAAAACTGTTGATGTACCTCGTCCTAGGTCATTATTTGGTCCATGGCGCCGCAGCGGCTTGGACGCCGATGTCGTGGCAGCTCGGCGTAGTGGAGTTCAGCATAGTGGTGGCGAGGTCTAGTACCACTGTCTTGAAGCTTGTTTTAATTCATAAATGGATTTCTTTAGGTGGCATCACATTCGTTCTTTTTCTTCCATGACAAAACCTTTCGGTTGTGCCATGTAAACATTTTCCTCCAAGTCCCCGTTGAGAAATGCCGTCTTTACATCCATTTGATGTAAGTCTAAATCGTAATGTGCCACTAATGCCATTATGATTCTGAAGGAATCCTTACATGAGACTAGAGAAAAGGTCTCATTGTAATCAATGTCTTCTCTTTGCGTAAAGCCTTTTGCCACAAGTCGCGCTTTATATCTCTCTATATTCCTTTGAGAGTCAAGTTTTGTTTTGTAGACCTATTTATAGCCTACTGTTTTAGCTCCTTTACGAATTATTTCTAAGTCCCTAACTTTATTGGCATTCATAGATTTCATTTCATCTTCCATGGCCGCAAGCCACTTTAATGAATGATCATTTCTCATGGCTTCTTCAAATGAGGTGGGATCATCCTCCATTTAAAATTTCTCAGTGTTGTATACTTCATAGTCAGCAGAAATAGCTGATTTTCTAGCTCTTTGAGACCTTCTAGGGGCCTCCACATTTCACACATGTTCTGTTTGAGGTTGTTGTTGCCCCTCCTCATGTGTGGCAATAGGTTTTATAGGATCCTGAAGAAAAGGTTCATCATCATCATTCATTGTTGTTACAGACGGAATAACAACAGGTGCTGACACCATAGTATCTTGCACTATCGGTGCAGCGACAACAGGTAGTGAGAAAAATAGCTCATGAATCATCGGAGTGGGTGCATACATCCGCTTCTCTTCAAGGTCAATTTCTCGAGCTACCATGCTCCCCCTCATCATTTCATCCTCTAGGAAGACAGCGTGTCTCGTTTCCACAAACTTTGTACGTCTCTCTGGACAGTAGAAACGTAAACCTTTTGACTTTTCTGGGTAGCCAATGAAATGACAACGTACTATTTTGGGATTTAGTTTCCCAATGTTTGGGTTATATACTTTAGCCTCAGCAGGACTCCCCTACACACGTAGGTGGTTTAGTGAGGGTACTCTTCCTGTCCACAACTCATATGGTGTTTTGGGCACCGACTTACTTGGTACTCTATTGAGAATATGAATGTCGGTTTTTAACGCCTCCATCCACAGGCTCAATGGTAAGGTGGAGTAACTTATCATACTACGCACCATGTCTATCAGGGTACGATTGCGTCTTTTAGCTACTCCATTCTGCTGAGGTTCACCCGGTATAGAATACTGGGCTACTGTGCCATTCTTCTATAAGAACCTTGCAAAAGGTCCAGGAACTTGGCCATATGGGGTATGCCAACCGTAGTACTCCCCTCCACGGTCAGACCTGACTATCTTAATCTTTAAATTGTATTGGTTTTTAACTTCTGCCTTAAATATCTTAAATTTATCCAATACTTATGTTATTTCTTTGATTGGATAAATGTAGCCATAATGGGAGTAATCATCTGTGAATGTTATGAACGAATCATAACCATTCACACTCTTTACAGGAAACTAACCACAGATGTCTGTGTGAATAATCTATAAAATTCCTGCGCTTCGTTTGGTATCTTTCTTAAATTTTTTACATACTTTCCTTTTATGCATTCTCTGCATTGTTCTAAATCTGAGAGCTCTAATGGAGGAAGAATATTATTCTTAACTAGTCTTTCTATTCTCCCCTCGAAATATGGCCTAAATGACAGTGCCATAATTTCGACGACGCATCGTGAGCTCTCTTATGCCACCATTTTCAGAGTAACTCTCTGTCACCAGCTGCTTTATTAGCTGGGTAGCATATGTCTTTGAAGAGCCAGTGAGCTGACTCTTTATTCTATCGAGGTAATCGGTGACCGTGTCACACTCTGGGATTGAGCCCACAATTACAGGCTCAATCGTGTTCTTTATCACAGCCAAACATTTCTTGTTGACAGTGACCCACTTGCTATGCTCAAGGTCATAGGACATCTTTTGGGATTCAAAATCCCTCTCTTTAGTTGCCCAAGCGGCATCAGCCTCGTTTGTCTCCCTCACTGGTGCCACAGGCTCAGTGGGACACGGTGAGGTGACTACCCAGTCCACCTCAGGCAAGATGAACGCCAGGTCAATCCTTTTCTTCCACTCCGTGTAGTTGTCACCTTTGAGAGTGGGGATATCTTTGATACAATCCATCAAGTTGTATCCGCTTGGCAACACAATTCATATCGAGTGAGAACATAAATAATAACAATAATTGCATGCCTTGATTACAACGTTGGTCAAAATTAAAACATACAACTGTTCTTATACACTAATTCTACATCACCGTTGGGCAGAAATAGAATTAATGTATAAAATCATTAAAATTACGATATTGTTATTAACAACGTTGGTCAGAGAATAACAACATCATAATCATGTCAAAATCTCTTTTCTCCAATTAAATATCACGTTGATTCAAAATAACTGCAGAATAAAGAATTTCTTTAGCAGCGGAAAAATGAAAATTTATTATCTATTTTTCAGAAGCATTAAACTTTTCTCAAATATTATTCGAAAAATTATCCTGTTGGTTCAAATTTTAACAGAGATATTAAGCTAGACAAATATCATAAAAAATTGCTTCTGAAAAAAAATAAAACTTAAACTCGTATGAACACTGTTCATTTGGCCCATTCCAGCTAAAACAGTGAAATTTGGCCCGGCCTGTTTCTGTTTTCGCGCGCGCGCTGCCACCCAGGCCGCAACGTGGGTCTGGGCCGGCAAAGCGCCGTGGCCGCGCACCCCGCCTAGGCTGAAACTGGCCCAGTCGCGCTCCACCGTCGGATCGCATTCGACGGTCGCCTGGCCGTCTCGCCCAAACAAAACCGCGGACGCCGGTCTCTCCTAAACCCTAAATGCTCATTTGCGCCTCCTCCTTCTCTCTCACTCTCTCGGCCACAGCGAGGTGAGTCCGAGCGAGCAGACGACGGAGGGCGAGTAGAGCCTCGGCGCTGTCGTCGGCCCCCTCGCCGGCGAGCGTCCTCCCCAGCGGGTGAGCGCGCCGTCGTCAAGCGGTTTGGCTGCGGCGCCCCCTTGGCCAAAGCCCGGCGAGTAGCGCCCCCGGCTCGGCCTTCTTCTCCCCGCGCGTCGGCGAGCCGCACTACGGCGGTGTCAGCAGCGGTCGAGGCAGACCTCCCCTTCCCCTTCTGATTTGGGTCCGGTTTGTTCTTCTCGGATTCAACCGATTGGGGATCTAGGGTTAGGGTTTCGCTCTGTTCTTCTTCTTCCCGAATTGATTGCGGGTTTAGGGTTCGGTTTCGAGATCCTTTCCAAAACCGACACCATTTCTCTTCTATGTGCTTCACCCGATTAGGGTTAGCTACCGGTGGCCGTCGGTCTAGCTCCGGCGAGCCGCCTCCCATGCCCTTTCCCCTTTCCCCTTCTCTGTCTATAGATCTTGATGTGTTCTTCTTGGTTCTTTGCCGATTGGGGATTAGGGTTAGGGTTAGGATTTCATTAGGGTTAGGATTAACCTGATTTGTTTTTCTTTCGGTTTGGGTTCGGTTGAACCCTCTGATCTTTTCTTGCCGCGCGCCGGCGAAGACGGCGGTGCGACACCTTTCCTCACGCGGTGGCGGTGGTGACCGGTAGTCAGTGACGTCCACCACCCTTCCGGTCTCTTTTCTATTTTCTTTTACCCGGTTAGGGTTAGGGTTTCAATCCAAAACGGATCGAACCCTTGTTCTTTCTTTGATTTCTTTTCAATTCTCTACCCCATACTAGATCTACACACTGTTAACCCGGCTCTGGTACCATTGTTAGGAAATGGTGTACCTCTTAAACGTAGATCATGGGTAAGCATCTTACTTAGATGGGGAAACTGTTGATGTACCTCGCCCTAGGTCATCATTCAATTCATGGCGCCGCAGCGGCTTGGACGTCGGTGTCGCGGCAGCTCGGCGCAGTGGAGTCTAGCGTAGTGGTGGCGAGGTCCAGTGGCGATGCAGAGGCGACGGTGAGGTTGGTGGCGGCGAAGTCAGTGGGTCTTCCCGTCGCTGGCAGCACCCTCTTTAGATCGGGTTAGGTTTTCTGTTGGTGGGTCACGGTGGCTCCGGTCAACCTCGTAGTTAAAGCTCTGATCCCCACCTCTCTTTATAGTGCTGTGCGACAGGGGCCTACCAACCATATTAGGGTTGGGTGCCCCCGATCAGGGCGCAGATCCAAGGGCCCAATAGACCGGTGAAGATCAACTAACACGATCATATTGACACTCGGGTGGATGACAAATGGGTTCATCTGTGTCTATGAATGTCCAGCGTCAAACGACCGCGCGGCTGGGTTGCGCTATTTGACGGCGACGGCGTGCGCCCGGCCGATGCATGCGAGATCGCCTTCCTCTGCACCGCCATCGGCAGGTGCGTCCGCGTCCGCCTGCCGGAGCTCCGCGGCCACCGTATCGTCGACTTCACTGACGGCCTCCTCATCCTGCTCAACAAGGGAACCACCGCCGTCCGCGTCCTGCATCCCTTCACCCGCGTCGCCGTCGATTTCCCGCCCATCGCCCCCATCTTCGACTACATGGTCAAGGACTAGCTGTCCCGCGCCTGGGTGAGAGCCGCCGTGTGCATGTCCCAAAACTCCCCCGACTCCATCGCCGTCGTCGCCTGGTTCCTCAACGCAGCGGGGGTGGTCATCGCCGAGCCTGGCTCCCCGTGCTGGTATACCGTGCACCACAGCCTCCAGCTTGCCTCAGCCGTCCCCTTCCAAGGCCGGCTCTATGGCGTCGTCAGAAACAAGATGGCGGTTCTGCAGATCTATCCTCAATGCCTGGACCCTTGCATTGCTCTTATCCCAAGATTTGACATTCCTCAAGACTATTTCTTCTTCCTCCTGGAGTCTGCTGCGCGCCTAGTACTTGTTATCCGCCACTTTTCCCATGACAATCCCACTAAGGGATATGGACCTCGCCGGTTTGCGTTGTTTGAGGTTGGCACGGGCGCACGGCTGAGCAGAGGGGGCTTGCTCCGTTGAGCAGCCTTGGTGATCGAGCTTTGTTTCACGGCCTTGACCGCTGCCTCTCTGTGTCTGTGTCTGGAAACAACCTGCCTTCCATCAGCGGTGATGCCATTTACTTCTACTCTGAAGATCTCTATCCTCTTCTTATGTACTCTGTCAGCAGCAGCACATGCGAGAAATTATCAATGCTATCATAACTTTAATGTTCTAATTGATCTGCCTTTTCTCTTGCTAGGTCAAGGGGACTCATGTTTCATGAATACCACTACATACCTAGATCTTGGAAGTATTTGTCCAAGAAACACAAAGCCCAAGACTGCGAAGTTCAGTTTCAAATCTCAAGAGGTTTGAGCTGTTAGAAATAAGGGTTCCTTTCACCGAGAATAACTGCCCTAGCCTGGCACTTGCTTACCTAGAAATCTTTGAAGAAGTTGTCCAAGAAAAAGAAATCCCAAGACTACGAAGTTCAGGGTCAGGTTCCAAGCTGCATACTCGGTGAAGTTTTAGCTGCAGGATTAGGTCTGTTACAAATAAGGGCTCCTTTCACCGAGAATAACTGCCCTGCCCTTCTGCAGTTGGCACACCTCGGTGATGATTAAAATCCACACTGAAATGTGGCCTCAGCCCAACCTCTTCCATTTGTTAGTTCTTTTTTCATGTTTATTACTACAATTTATATAAAGATTGAATATAAACAATGATGCACTGATTTCCTCCTGAAGTAGGTTTCAAGCTACTGATGCAATGACATTCTGGCTATCTGCTATATCTATATATCAGTTTTAGTCCTTTCCATAATTGAGTTTCAATTATTTGATTTTCTCTAATTCACTTGCTAGTTCTTATATAGTTTCAAAATGTTTCTTAATTTTTTGAGAAACGGTTGTCTTCTCTTACCTGATTTTTCCTTCCCCGTCGATAAACAGCTGAAAAAATAATTGCGAAGCTTCATGGATTTGAAGCTATTAGGCTAAAGAAGATAGGATTTGCGTTTATACGCTGCTCAGGTCTTTCCTTATAAGTAAATGTTGTGAATCCCATGAGTTCATTTTGGGGACTGTGTTTTTAGTTTGGTTGTATATGTTCTGTGCGTCCACAGTTATCTTACATGGGTCAATCATATCCACGAAGATCTGTGGAGACAGAAAAATCAGGTATGGAGAAATAAGGGCGGAAGAGTTGATGATTCATAAAAACTGCTGCTGGTGAAATTTAAACTTTCACTTTCCATGTTGATTTGATCCTAGACTAGAAATCTAAACTTGATTTCAAGTCTTGATGGTTTCTCTTCTTTACATTGACTTTGGGAGATTGATCTGTGTCATGGAAAAAGTTGATGTGCCCAAGGAGTTCACAGCTCATAATGGCAAGATGATGACGGCTTGCTAGAAGGCCTGATGTTGTGTTGCTTTGCCAGTGTACCTTTGTTACAGGTTTACAGCATTTTTTCCTGATTTTACGCATGGTAGGAGGCTCTATACCAAGCTGCTTCGAAATGAACTGGCGGTTTGCCCCTTGAACTGGAGATGCCCTCCAAATTTTGCAGCACAGTTGTGCCGATGCAGTTTCTTGGAGCAATACAGGCGGCCAAAACAGCGAACGCGTCGGTAGATCATGTGTCGCACGCACTCGCGTTAGCGGCTTCACGGACGTGGTAATCAGTGTGTCATGTTCCCCAAATATTTGCATGTTGCTATGGAGTACTTGTATCCAAATCTTCAGGATTTAGTTCAAAAAAAAAAAAAACAGAGCAATCCGGTTTATCTCTAGGGTTAGTTCATGTAAGATTTGTATCGAGCACTCTAAGAAACCACCCAAACCGCCATATGAAGAAGCACCGTTTGTCAACTTCGACAACTAGGGCTCTGTTAGAGCATTCCAAGAGTACCATATTTTTTTCCCCAAAAGATATGATGTTTTTCAACTCCTAATAGGAGCAATAATTAAGGCCATCTCTAAGAGTTTCCAATAAATTACTCCCAAAACACAAAAAATGTGGGTCCCACATGTTATTTTTTCTACGACATTTTTTTTTCCGCGCGAGATCGGTCTCCGTGCCCACATCCGTCGCCGCCGGCTCTCCTAGGCCGCCGCTGCCGGCACCCTCTCGCTGCTCCGTCTAGCAGGTTGCCGTCAGGCCCTCCCGATCGGCCACGAGGAAGCAGTATGCAGCAGCCGGCCACCAGGCAAGCAACAGGCGTGTAGCACCTTCACCACGCGGCCACGCAAGGACACTCAAAGGCCGGCTGCAGAATTGGCAGCACCACGCGAGGCCGAGGGCGCCGATGCGGGCCAGCGGCGCAGGGCCATCCCAGGGGCGGCCAGCTGCGGCCTCTGCTCGGCGATTAAAGGCTACGGACGGCGCGAAGAGGAGACCGTGCCGAAAATGACGCCGCGAAGAAGAGATCGCGCGGGAAACTAGGGATACGTGCTTCTAGGCCGCGCGCATTTTTACGCGCAAGTGGCGGTAGTTTTGCAATCACGGAGAATGAATATGGATAATTTTTTCTCATTTTTCTCGAAAAACATGAACGTGGAAGGGATATCGGGTACTTGGAGATGCTCTTACTCCCTCGCCGACGAAGACACACAAAACGCACTATCGAAATCCAAAGCGTCAACTGGGGAGCAATCCCACGCATCATTACACACAGTTACTCCCTCTGTCCCAAAATAAAAGACGTTTTGGGTTTTCGTGCCACAAGTTTGACTCGATTTGTAGAAAATACGTGCAATATTTATATCTTCAAATAAATTTGTTAAAAAACTAGACAAAAAGATCTTTTCAATGATACTAATTACTTAGCATAAATATTTATATATTTTAATATATAATTGCCGACAGTCGTTTCTCGGAAAGCGATAACGTCTTTTATTTTGGGACGGAGGGAGTACGTTGATACGACAGGAAATTCTGCCAGAAATTATCCGGCTCTGCATGCTGCATTAGACAGCAACCAAACCAAATCCTCGGGGACGGTTCGCAGGCCCAGCTAGCTACGTCCGACACGGGACGGACGCCTTAGCCGAAGCATTATCGAAATAGATACCATTAAGAGGTGTGGTGGGGGAGTCCGGTGCAATGGTGAAATGTACTCCCCTGCCTTGACCCGACTGCAAGATGAATGCCACCTCTGTAGGGGCTAGAGCAGCTGCCTCCTGAACATAAATTTTGGAGGTTTAGAAAAGGTCCTAATTAATGAGACTAGATGTTGCGGGTGATCAAATTATAGTACTACTTCCGTCCACAAAAGAATACAATTCTCGAATATCGACGAGTCAAACAACCTGAACTTTGACTAAATTTATATAAAAAGTACAAACATTAATAATACAAAATAAGTGTCATTAGATTAGTTATAGAATATATTTTTATAATAAATTTATTTAGAGATATAAATGCTAATACTATTTATTATAAATTTGGTCAAGCTTGAGCTCGATTGACCGGTACGGATACCATGGCTTCGTTAAATTTGGCTGGAGCCGGCTGGTTACTCCTCAGAAAAAACTGGAGCTCGATTGACCGGTACTGCATTCTTTTATGAACGGAGGGAGTAACACACTGACACTGGAGCAGAATAGATTAAAAGTTGTGCAGATTTTGCCTCTAAGCTGAATTTCAAGAAAATATATAGGTTGCATAACTTAATCCTGATCTTGATTTTCAAAGAAAAGCAAGATTAAAAAAATATATAAGAAAATAAAGATGCAGATATTCATATTAGAAATGTCATACAGACTTGTCTCTGTCTGCGGCGCTGCAAGATGCTAATTGCCCAAGCCATAATGTAGAGTGGTAGCAGGAAACCAGCAGCACGCAGTAGAAAAAGCTGACAATTATGAACCATCAATAGTTCAATACTAAGTGTTAGTAACCACGCCTAACAAGAGGATGCTAATAGTACATTTCATGAAAGATCCTTCGCTTACTGAAAACATTGCAGAAGTATCGTTATCATCTTCATCGGTTAGAGTCAGTGCGTGTCTCAACAACAAGAGAGCCATTAACTGAACATAAAAGGTAAATGGATGTTATGAATAAAAAAGAAGTCCGCGCCACCACGCCTCTGCCCCACCCAGCAGCAGGGGTCGACACCACCGTACCTCTGCCCCGCCCGACGGCAGGGGTCGCCGCCGCAAATCCATTTCCTCGCCCAGCGGCCAGATCACCGCCGCCGCACCATTGCCTTATCCAGCAGAGGACGACTCCCCCGGCACCCTTTAGGGCAATCTATCTTCCAAGGTTAAATCAAATCTAAAACAGTTTGTAGTGGCAAATTGAACAAAATTGGGGATGTAGCTCAACTGGTAGAGCGTTTTGTCTATGCATGAAAAAGGTACGGGGTTCAACTCCTCGCATCTCCAATTATTATTTTTGTAGCGGCAATTTTTGTTTTTTATTAATCTATCTTTCAAGATTAAATCAAATTTAAAATAATTTGTAGTGGCAATTTGAACAAAATTGGGCAGGTAGCTCAACTGGTAGAGCATTTGTCTATGCACAAAAAAGTACAGGGCTTAACTCCTCGCATCACCAATTATTATTTTTTATTAATCTATCTTCCAAGATTAAATCCAATTTAAAATAATTTGTAGTTGCAAATTGAACAAAATTGGGGATGTAGCTGGTAGAGTGTTTGTCTATGCATGAAAAAGGTACGGGGTTCATCCTCCAAGATTAAATCAAATTTAAATAACTTGTAGTGGCAATTTGAACAAAATTGGGGATGTAGCTCAACTGATAGAGTGTTTATCTATGCATGAAAAAGGTACGGTTTTAACTCCTCGCATCTCCAAAAAAATTTTGTTAATTAATCTATCTGCCAAGATTAAATAAAATTTAAAATAATTTATAATGGCAAATTGAACAAAATTGGGGATGTAGCTGTAGAGCGTTTTGTCTATCTCCAATTCTCTAGGTCCGACTGTAATTATGCCCTTTTTTCTCTACTCTGAGCCCACTAAGACCAAGAGACACTAAGTTAATTATTTTTTTCGGATGTTACACATTCTTCTTGCCTGAGCACCGTCCATCAGTTTTCATCGCCGTCGGCGACCTTTTGACTCGGCCGCCGCACCATTGCCCCGTCCAGCGGAGGACGACTCCCCCGCGCCCTGCCGCCCTTTAGGGCAAGGCGCATGACGGACGGCTTGCCTCAGAGTCGATAAGGTAGAACACCTCACCATGCATCAGGATCCAGCCATTCCCGCTGGCGCCACTGGCTGAGGGGGAAAACTGCCTTTTGGTGTTGCGCGTTTGCGTCTTCGCGTTCCAGCTGCGGCGGCCAGACATTGCCGCGCACGCGAGAGGGGAGATGGAGGCGACGATGGGGTTTGGAGAGGAGGAGGAGGCGGAGTGGGTGAGGGTTTGGGAGAGGAGGAGGCGGATTGGGTGAGGGTCATATAGCAGAACTAGAGGAGGCTCGCTTTCCAACCGTCTCTATAACTAGCTCTATAGAGATAGCTAGAGTTATCAGCGGCCTCTGGAAATGATAG